CACTCTCAATGCCGTACAGGAGTACAGGAGTTGATGTATGCCTTAGAGTGTGTGATGACTGCATGGATGAGCATCCATGCGATGGCAACTCAACTACTGGTAGGCAATGTTACACACATCACAACCAACTGTGATATAATTAGACTCAGAGCTAACATCACATGAGAAATACAAATACCATTTTCACAACACTTTTCGGATATATTTCACTTTGACTTAAATAAGGCATTAATGTTCACAACGATTGCCAGTCATTGCAATCCTATGTATGGCTCTTATTGTGCGCCACATATTGCAGTCGACGTCGATATTGTCGACTATTGCTGTGTCTAAAGCTGTCTAACAGTGCCTAACAATGTCTAACATAACTGATCCCACTCTCGACAATATTAATTATACTTATTATAACACAACTCATACTAAGCGCTAGTCTTCGCTGTACTACTCAATCAAATTAATCAAATTTTTGGTACAATTTATATAATATTTTCATCGAAATCATTATTCAAATGCATTTATGGTATACTATAATGATATGAATGAAAATAGGAACAAAAATTATGAATGAAAAAATAAAAGATAAACACAAATAATTACGGAATAATTTATTATTAATTTAAAAAAATGTTGAATCAATTTAAAGAATTTAATTATCGTAAGAGTCTCTGAGACAGAGGCAGTGGAGGCACTACTGATGCTTATATAGACTTACATTATGTATAATGTACTTCACTTGTACTCTACTGTACACTATGTTCACTGTATTACATGTTAATACAGAATATATATTATATGATAGCCTCTAGCCATACAAGTACTACACACTAAATGAGTTGTGAGTATTGTTTTTAATGAGAGTAACACAACATTGCCTCTAATGACTAGAGAATTGATAAATACGTTGGGATCAAAAGTGCCAAATATTATCAAATTATTAATAAAAACTCAACCATTTATACCATATATTCCGGTATACGATATAATTGTGTTGAGTATTAAGGCTTCAAATCTAGTCTAAGTATGAAAGATAGGGACGGAATTGAGACCGACTTCATCTCAGACCCATCGATCACATCCCTGAGCACATGGTAAGCAAGCGTGTAATATAATCCACTATACGATCAGGCATTTGCATACATACAGTACACCATACACTCCAACACCAATTCTCACTCTACTATAACCCAACACTTAATAATCTATCAAAGTATATACTATTGTACAAAATGATGAGATAATTCAATTCAATTCAATTATTTATATTTCAATTTATATATACTTTTAAAATACAGAATATTTACAGAGAAAAGTATTTTTAAATCCAACAAAATTTACTATTAAAATGAATAATAAATAAATTACTGAATATTGTTTTTTTGACAATAAAAATTCCACTCATTTTTACGCAAATTGTTTTTCATGTCTTTAATAGTTAACAACGATTTCATTTATTGAGTCTAATGTTGTGTTTATATTATATTCATTTATCTGAGCATTTATTAGTTTATTAAAACAGAGTCTTTGGTCGCATTAATTCATTTGTGTTATATTTATATCGTTATAATTACTGTTGAGATTTTTTGATGTGAAATTAACATATATAACAATAATGTGATTATTGTTTCAAAGAATTTACATTTAATGACAGACTTGTAGAAAGGGATGAATGTTATGAATGGTCACAATGTATGTTAGGGTACCGGAGATCCCGTCGAGTCGATAGGACTCGTCAAATGGAGGAACTTTTTTATGTGTACTTATATTTTCTTATATTATTTATCAAACAAATGCCTGCCATTTATAAATTCACCAAATATTCATAATATAGCTTACTTTTAGCTCAACTTATCGGCTAAACAATCGCTTTGTATAAAATGCCGCACTTTATAAGAAAGAAGAGATTGGGATAGAGATAGTGAGGAGAGAGAGAGAGAGAGAGAGAGAGAGAGAGAGAGAAATTTACATTATTTAAATTATTATCTTTATATATAACTTTTTGCTAAAAATTACAAATAAATGATTGTGTTTTTGACGTTAATATAAAAACTATATTTAATTTATTTTAAGCTTTGTATTTAATTTGCAAGAATTGCAATATATTTCAATATAATTATTGATATAAACTTAAAAATATAGAAATTGTGAATATTATTAGAAAACACATTAAGTGTTGTATAATAAGGAAATTGTGGTTTTGATGATTTGATTGATATTTAACAGTATATCTATTAATCCAAACACTACATATATTTAACATTTAAATTTAACATGCTAATTTAGTTGATTCAAATTTCCGACAATTATTTATCAAAAAGAAATTAAATTTCAATCAAACTGTAAGCTAACAGAAGTAATATAAATCAGAATTATATATTGTATTATATTTAACATATGAAAGCAATCATCGATTGGTAAACAAAACTGACAAAATTGTTAAAGATCAATAAATTAGTATATTAATAATGCTGAATAATAATTAATTCACAACTATATACACAATCCGTAATTAAATTAACTAGAGTGTTTATTCTATTCCTAATATAATATATTATGTCTTTGAAATTTATTTTATATGCGTTCGTTATTTGAAGTAATTTAGATTCTTGAAGTTCAAGTTTTAGTTTATTATTTATATTAATAGAAATAATTCTGTTTTGTTCTCAAGAAATTTCTTTATAATTTTAAACAATTTTAAATTATCACAATATAGTTATTATTTAGCAGATTTAGCAAAATATCAAAATATTTTAATGATGAATCATGATAATTTGTCTAGTTTTTAAATTATATTATTAAACACTTATTTAGTTTTGAAACAATTCAATATGTGTTAAAATGCTATAAAAAGGATATTATAGGATATTAATTAAATTTAAATAGAAAGACATCAGTTGTATTCCAATCTCACACACATTAAAAATATATATTTCAAAAATAATTATAATTTTATATAACAAAATATTCCATTTTAAAATAATAAAATCGATATATATTTTTTTATAAACTATTGTGTAAAATATCCTGAGAGAGAGAGAGAGAGAGAGAGAGAATGTCGAGAAAAGCATGAATACCAGTGTTGGAAAAAAGGTTTTCAAAATGAGTGGACATAACTTGCATAACAGTACAAAAAATCAGTCGGTTTTGTTGTTTTGCTGTTTGAGCGAAAAAAGAGTGAGAAAAATGTGAAGATATTTGTATTGATGGACAAAATAAAAGACAAAACAGAAGAAGTGATAAATGAGAACAAATTGAAACCAATAACAAAAGCGTTAAAACAGTGTAAAGGAATGGTGCGAATGATTCAGACAATTGAAAACTCTTAAAAACAATAATTGTTGAATAAATTGAATGAAAACCCCGTGTATTTAGAGGAAAATTAGGTAATTAGAGGAAAAATTATTGCATTTGAAACGTTACTTCACATGGAAAACAAAGCTGTGACACAAAATGGCATGAAAAATGTTAACAACATATTATATCTAATCTAATGTTTGATGTGTTTTTTAAATGAAGACAAGAGATTTTTAGTTGATAAGAATGATCTGTATTTTAGTCAATAACAAAAAAATTATTTTTTTCATTCAATTAAATATAAATATATAATACATAATAAAGAATATAAAGTATTGAATTGAGAAGCAATTGAAATAAAAGTGCAATGATTTTAGATTACAAAGCGATATATCACTGAAACAATCAAAACAAGAAATAATTTAAAGTAACATTAGTTGTTATATAATAATATTGTAATAAAAAATGTAAGATTAGTGTGAATTTGAGAGTATTAAAAATGTGACTCTCGGATAAAGCTATAAATAAGAGACAAAATTATTGTATTTTTTAAAATTGCAATTCAGTGACGATTGAATCAAATGTTACATTAATTACAGATATATTATATATTGATATCACAATAAATTAATTGCAGTTTAGCTCTACATTGTTTGTGTGACCCGACATATCAGCGCTTAATTTGATTACAAACTTATTTACGAATAATACTGTTATACTGTATAACAAATTACTATTAATCATCGATATATTGGATATATTGTCCATTTCAGGACAATTACAGCACAATTCCTAAGCATTTGTCTGTTTCATACAGAATACGCAAAGTCTGTTAGTGTTTGGCTCATACTTTATGTGCTCTTTTCATATGCACTGCTCTTTTCCTCTGCTATTGTAATGCTATTAATAGTAGTTATACTGAAAATTGTGTAACAATTTTATATTTCTTTTCTCATTTCAAGAATAGAAAATCGAGTTAGAGATGGGAAGGGGACCGACGGGGAGGGCATATACTATACAGCAAAAGGGGGACTCAGAGAGTGAGAGAGTGATAGTGGGAGAGAGAGTGAGAGCAAAAGAGTAAGAGAATGAGTAAGAAATAATCAATAATACGTTGATTTTGGGAAAATTGCTTCAATTGGTTGCGGTGTTTGAAGCGCTGATAAAATATAACATTAGAGGAACATCGATGTGGAGTGTATTTGAGTGAAAATTAATCATAAAATGCCAATCGATCAGCAAATTCCTAAATCCATCACTTTTTTGTTATGTTGTTTTGAGTATAGAGTACTAGAGTTTTCGGAGATTTATATTTATTTATTGAGATAATACGTACAGAAAAACACTATTTTATAATCACTGGTATAGTCGCTATAGTCGTATAGTTTTTCAATTGTTTTGTAATCATTAAGACATAGACATACAGTTGACAACTCCCTGACCCGTCACTCGAGTGTTTGTGTCTCTCAATGTCCGGATGTTTTGGCCGATAATCTTCTGTACACTTTCTTCATATACTCTCTTATTTTTCAATTTAATTGTGAACCAAATGATGAAAAATATGAAAATCAGAATAATATGGAAATAACTGTTTGAATCCATTGCACAGTTGCCATCATATCATTATAATACACATCAGTTTTAATTCGATCAAACATTTTATCATATCTTTGATTATAATATTATTAATAATGAATTAAATGAATATTTCACAGGAATGTTGAAAAAATGGTTGGTTTAGCCCCAGAGTCTGTTTCAGTCATATCAGGCCTTTTGGCTTTGGTCTGTGAACTGGATTTCGAGCAAAATATATGTTTTTTCGTCTATTGAGTCGAGTAATACATGTTATGAGAAATTTATCGCCAAATAATATAACAGTGAATTCATTGAATATTTATCACACGTCATATCAGTTTTGGTTTGTTTAATGTCTTTTATGTTAACCACATTCACGTCCATATGATTAGTAACTATTGTTTTATTATTATTTATTATTATTATATTAATATGATATCTGTATATGTGTTTTGGTGATGGTTTGGGCTCAGAGTTCTGTGAGTCCATAAGTCGGTGCCTCACTCTTTGGTTCGGTGGGGAGGAGGGAAGGGGTCTGTTGTGACCCCATCTGAAGGGAGTTCATGTCGTGAGCATTTTGTGACGATTGTGGCGGCGGTTGGCTATTGTTGGTCGACTGTTGGCCACTATTATTCTGTTGGTTCTTCTTCTTCACATTCTTAGTATTCGGCAGTTTATTGTCTTTTTTCCATTTCATTCTTCGGTTTTGAAACCATATCTTAATTTGTCGTTCACTCAAACACAGGGAGTGTGCGATCTCTATACGACGTCTTCGGGTTAGATATCGGTTGAAATGAAATTCCTTCTCTAACTCTAAGATCTGATGTCTAGTATATGCCGTCCTCTGCCTCTTGGGCTCCATTCCACTAAAAGCGGTCCCATTTTGAACTGAAATCCAATACAGAAATATATACCAATTAATTACAATCCAAACCAACTCTAAACTTCTATAACAACAAACTTAATAACAAACTCTACACTATTGTTATGGAAGTATAGAATAGTCTCAAAAGTAGTGCTATTTTTATAATAATAGACAGCGTTTTGAAAGCATATAATAATAGTGAAGAGAAAAATTGTATATAATATAACTTATATATGGAGTCTATTAGAGTCTATGGTATGAAATATTTTATTTTAAAAGCTGGCAAATGGTTGAGTCATTATACGATTGCTAAGCTAACAGTGCTTACAATAGATAAGCCTGCGATGGAGGCCATGAAGGCCATGGAGAGGCCAAAGCCAGAGATTGGGAACAATTGAAAGATCGACAATATGTTTGCCAATACAAGCGATGGCACCGATGCCTACCGTCCCTAACATAAGAAGGCCTACCGTTTCGATGAAAACATAGGAATAGAGGATCGCATTGCGGAAGGAGAGTGAGAGCCGTTTGAAAAGATTTATTATTATTGGTTTGTATGCAAAGGCGGCACAACTATTGCCAACTCTATTATGTGACAAAATATATTGCTTTCTATGAGAACACTATTAGACTATTAGACTATCGGACTCTTTGAATGAAAGAAACACCGAAACACTACTCGAAAACTAATCGTTAATACTATAGTAAAACACAAATGTTAAACAAAACAGTTAACATGTGTCATACCTTTGCATTTACCTTGATTTACGTGCACTTTCTTCATCCAGGGGTAGATGACGGGATGGCCACCGCTGCCATTGCCTGTTCCGGAGTCACTGCCACTGCCGCCGGAGAGCCCGCAGTCTCCGGGCGACGGCGGCTCCACAATACTTAAGGCCTGAGTTCGGGGCGAAGGCGACCGATGCAGTGCTGATGGACTCGACACTCGCGACAGGTGTGACATTTGTGGTGCGATCGACGACTGATGATGGGGTGATATCTGATGCTGGGCTGCGATCGGGTGATGAAGGGAGCCGTGCGGTGGCGGAACTCCACCGCCGGAGCCCATCGCTCCGGCCGTACACGGAGTGTAGTACTGGGGCGGAGCGGCCGGTGGGCCGACGTGATGGTTGTGGTGATGATGGTATTGTTGTTGGCTCTGATCCATGTAGTTGAGAGCCGGATGGTGCGGATGGTATCCATAGTGGGATTGATGAGTGTTTGGGCCGATTTGAGAGTTGGATTGTTGAGCACTTTGGCCGTAAAAGTCTTGAAGAGTGGGAATGTAATTGGATTGAGAGTACTCTTCGGTCGGCGGGAACTTAGGATCGGCCGACGCATAGGCCGCTGGCGAAGAGTTCATCAAAAACGAACTCATGACCAATGATACCATTAATATCGAGGTGAATTGGATGGAAATAATTTTTCTTTGCTGATGTCGCTTAACTGTGGTTTGGCTCCACCTCTGCCTCTGCTATTAGCATAAGCACGTGATAGCGTAGGCCAACCATAACTCTCTCTATCGTGACCAGAGGGGGGTTCGTCACAATGTAATCGATGACAGTGATGAATTACCCGTCCTTATGGGCTACACCCTACACAACCACTCACTACTCGTAGTCTTACAGTGTATAGCTATAGCAGATCTGCACAATAGCTCACATCACAGCATAGCATACATTGTATGAGAAGCAGAATTCTGTATACTGTATAGCATTGCGTATAAACTACCAGTCCTTCGAAGTTCGTACCATTGCCTGCCTCTGACTCTCTGCCTCTCTTCACGGCTTATAGTCAGTTGTGAGAGTGACTGAGTCTACCATTTCTCCCAACAACATCTCTCTCTCTCTCTCTCTCTCTCTCTCTCTCTCTCTCTCTCTCTCTCTCTCTCTCGTTATTTGCTATACTGTAATACCTGCTCTCTCTCTCTCTCTCTCTCTCTCTCTCTCTTTGATAACTGATAAACCAGTTCTTAAATACAATGAAAAATAGGATTTTTAATTTGAGTTATTTATTTTTTTCGTTTACATATATTATACCAAAAATATCAGATCAAATTTGATGAGACGATTGCAATAATGATCACACTTTTGAATTCATCGTCGATTTTCTCCTCTCTTATGAGTTTTCAAAAATCTATTTCCGTGCCATTCATTCATCCCTTACCTCTTCCAGTAATGCCATTGAAAATGCATGGTTTTAAGTGAGAGGTGCCCAACAAAATAACCATTAAAATTAACATTAAATTGCTTTTTGATACAAATATATACGCAATTCCCATTCTCTCTCTCTCTCTCTCTCTCTCTCTCTCTCTCTCTCCCTACCTGTGCCTCACATTTATATATCGACTGGCAATACGTGTAATGCAATCACTGAGTGATTGTATAATTATTAAGAGGGGAAGGGATTGAGAAAGAAAAAGATATTAAATGTTGAGTTAAAATGAGATGATATGTGAAAATAACTTTAAGCCAAATAATAATAAATAGTCATTCAATTCCTGGTACTAACACTTTGGGCTGAATTGAAGACCGTATTTATTTCAATACATACCGTATATAACATATACTGTTATATTTGTAACCAAAACT